CAGCAGCTCCAGATATAACACAACAGGTAAGAAAACTAGACATTTAATAAAAAAGTGAATAGAAAAAAAATAGAATAAAGGTTGTATGTACTATATACAGCTTTTATATAGATGTGATTGATGTAGATGATTGCACAGGTCACATGCATTAACACTATGTAATCTATTTCATTACTTTTGATATTAAAATTTGCTACTGAGTAGGCCAAGAATTTATATCCAGACCTTTCATCCTAATTTCTTTCACACATAATAAACCACAGACACATGAAGCAAAAGTGCCCCATAAAGGGCTGCCTGCTTCCTTTCAGTGACCATGTTAACCAATTGGGCTGTTCATCTGTCCTATTTTTTCTGCGTGCTGCAAACCAGAGAGCACACTTTCGGCCAACAAAACCCATGAAAAAAAATACTGACCAGAGCAGCGCGGGAGTTGGGAGTAATTAGGGATTGAGGATTTGTAGGAACAGAAACCAAATGGAGGCGGATTAGACTCCTGGCTGGCTGAAATGTATACTAATTACATGTTATACACAGGTTCAAAAACATAGACCCAAGTCTTAGTGGTGCGTTCAAGGGGTCGTATTTTTGCAGCTTTTGCCAATAGATCTTCATAAATGTTACACACTGGACCTTTAAAGGAATATTTCAGCAATTTAGTACTTCCATTAAATTGAGGGACTTTCAAGAAACAATTTTAAAACTGACCGGTCAAAATTGGTAAAAAAGAGGCAGAGACATTCCAACTTTTAGTCCAAATTACTGGTTCCTTGCTCCCGAAATGCTGGATTCTACAATTCCCATCATGCAAACTGGTAAATATTCAATGTCAAGGGCAGCATAAGTAATACTTTTCTGTGTATTACTAACCCTCCAGCACATACCGAGTTTGTTCATGCAGCTGTGCAGCCTGGTCTCCAGCAGTAAAACCCTCTGCTGAAGCTCCTCGTAGTCGTACGCTCCTATCTCTTCCTGAATGGCTGTCAGGATGATTGACAGGTTGAGGAGCTCCAGTCGCAGGGTGGCCAGCGTCTGCAGGTCCAATCTGTACTGCTCCACCACTGACAGAAGGGGCCGTAGCTGAGACATCTGGCCCTTTAACTCCTGTGGGTGCAATAATAATAAGTTAGAGAGAAGACAGGGTCCACACTAATGTGGTTAAATCTGATAAAGCATCTGTTTTTCTTTCTCTATTGGGTGAGGTAACACAAAGTTAAGCCACTGCAGTCATTTTGTGACTACTTTTGAAGTCCATCTCGGAGTAGACTTCGAACTTGATTTCCATTCAGCTAATTATGCTTATTCCTATCTTCACTCCCCATCCTGCAGCCTGTGATCGAGTGAGGAGAGAGAAGGCTTCCACAGAAAGCACAGGTGTAATCTATGGGGGTTTTGTGGGCAGTGCAGAATGTGCCGCAAGGGGTCAACCACAAACACATATTTGCTATTAGTTGAGGCTGCTCCTTCGCTGGTCAAAGTTCACCATGTTTAACTCCATGCGAAGCTAAAATACAGATCTGCTTTGCCACCGGCAAAAAAAGGTTTAATTCGGCCGCTTCACTTACACAACACTGGCGTATATTCACCAATGTTGAATTCAGAGAAACAGCTGGTCTATTGTGGAAATAGCCTTACTGTAATATTAATGTTATTGGATGATTTATATTCTGTAGATTAGTGAAACTACGTGTGGAAACAGGAATAAAAGCACCAACGGCAACTCTAATGTTATTCATTATTCACTGAATAAAATGATCAGATGTGTGAATAATCTGAATGATGAATGAATCATAAAGATTCTCTTGCAACTTTCTACATCAGCCAATTTCATTTTCTTCTTCTTTTCCGTTGATTTCAGTGCATTTTGGCTCATTTAGGAATAATATACGGTTATGTAATCCTATAAAGCCGCACTGTCATTTATCATTGTCCTATAATATCAGCATGAGCCTGAAAAACCAGACTCAAGGGCCGTCCACACCAAGAACGTATCCACTGATGAACAACAACGTTGTATAAACAGTGGCCACAAAGGAAAATGTGTGATGACCTGTTACTGCTGTACGTTATGCAAAAAAACAAGAAAACAAGGATATCAGTTCACAAAATACTTCACAGGCGGGAGGAGTTAGGAGGATGCAACTGTTGGAGATATCATTGTTGTACGACTATTTATAGTTATTTATATATATATATATATATATATATATATATTGGTGTTATTTCTATCACTAAAACTCAGTTCATTCATCAGTTATATTTCTTTAAATTTTCACTTTTTTACAAAAAGGGTTTCCACACCCAAATCAATCAGATTGTTTTCAATGACAGTGGACTTCAGTGTGGCAGGTCTAACAATATCTCTGACTACAGGTAGCCACCTGTTGGTAATACGTTGATTTACACTCATTGTTGAAAAGTTAAAAAGACTGAATTGAAGCACTATTGCACAATGAAGTTGGCAGAGCCAGAACATCTGTGTATTTTCTTCCCCCCTCTTTACAGATCCCCTCCAAGCATTATTAAAATAGTCTGCTCGGAACAATTAGTTATGATTGATATGTTTTTTTTCCACATTAAAATCATTAAAAAGGCATTTACTCCTTTTACCTCATTAAAAATTCCAGAATCTATGAATATTACATTTTTGTTAATTTCCTGCTGGACACAAGATGTCTCCTACTTCACTGTAAAGTCCATTCACAGTGTATGTGCACTGGTGGCTTTAGGTTTCTACATCACACAGAAGTTGCATAGTGGACCAGGACCACCTCAACTACCTCTTTTCTCTCAATCTGCCCAATAAAGCTAAACACAAATCTTACAAAAAGAAATCTTACAAAAGAAATCATCTAAATGATTTGGGTGTACATCCTGCACTCCAGCCCTCTCTGTTTTTTTCTTATGATTAATTATTTGTACACATTTAACAGTTGAGATTCTGTGCGACTTGAGTAACTGCCATCTCCATCCTCGCGTCTCTTCCCCACATCTCTCTCTTGCATATCTGTCATGTTAGCCAAATGGAACGCATCCCCAGAAAATGCTGGAGGGACTACATATCCCATCTGGCCTGGGAACGCCTCACAGTCCCACAGGAAGAGATGGAGGCTGTGGCTGGAGCACGTCTGGGCTACTCTGCTGGCACTGCGACCCAGATAAACACTAAAATTGATAAACAAGTCTTTTTTGGGGGGGGCTTTTGGCCTCCTATCCATAGTTAAAGATTTAAATAGCCTCACATTGTGAGAAAGTGAGCCAGTGCGGATAGAGAGAAATTTTCCTGCTATCAGTTTGGAGGAAGATCAATATTTACTGCATGAATTACATATATGACACAGCTGGAGGAGGTTGCAGCAGGAGGATAAAGGGTTTTTCTCATATACCCCTTTTATTTCTCTTTTTCAGCCATGACACTTAGATGTCTTTTAACCTTTAAATCCCCAGAAAAAACTGTTTGCTATGTAGAGAGAGGAGTTGGATGTGATATGGAAAAAAAGAGACGGATTAAAAGAAGTGTCAAAAGCGAAGACAAAAACCTTTATCGTCTCCTCAGAACATCTCATACCCCAGAACACAAACACAACAACAAATCCAGGATAACAACAGGCTTGGCAGTCAGTCAAACACTTTGTATGTCTAATCTCTCTGCTGCTATCTTCAAATAAGGACCGAAATACATTTCTGAAATCACTTCAAACATTTTCTGAAGCTGACCTTAAATTTGGCCACTTCATCCTCACTGATCAGTATTTGCATATAATTGTACGTTCATTAATATGTATTAAAATCAATCTTGACAAAATGCTGAAAATGTCATTGCTTGTTAGATAGTAAACACTTTACCTGGCTAATCCCTCCCCCCTGCCATGTTTCCTCCTTCATCGTCACCTCTCTCTAATCTCTCCCCTCCTGTTTCACTCTTTTATCTCTCTCCCTCTTTCTGCGTAACCTTTACCTCCCCTTATACTTCACTTTGCTCATTCCTCTCACCCCCCCCCACCCACATGGAAAAATGGTAATATGCAATCAGACATTTTCTTTCTCTCTATTTCCTCCCCCTTTATCCTCTGTCTCTCTCAAACCCTAAATCAATCCATCTATCTTAATCCCTCTGTTTGACCTCCACTTCTGCATCTCCCTCGTTCCCCTCCCTCCATTGGTTGAAAATACTGTTTAGTTATTGATAAACTTACTTTAGCTGTACATCACATAAATATGCACCAGTTCTGCCTCTCAGTGCAAAGGCAAAAGCTTATGACTGTGAAAACCCCCAAGGAGCAACAAGCGTGCACACACGCACACACACACATAAGCTAACTGCATAAAAACTTAAAAACAAACCCTAGAGCCCCATGATGTTGTTAAGAAGATGCTCGGCAAAAGATGAAAGGCAGAATGGATTCATGGGGGGGTGGAAATTCTCTCTATTTGGGGAAGTACTGTAAGGGGTAGTCTCTCTCTCTCTCTGTGTGTGTGTGTGTGTGTCTGTAAGCATGTTGCTTCATGGGTGTGTCTGTTTGTTGAACTCCTATGTAGCCTCTGTCTGGTTCATAGAGCATATCATGCTCTTTAAATATTGGATATATTATTTTACCATGTTGGGTTTATGAGCTTCTACTTACATGTTTAAGTTAGAGGTGGGGTAAGAGAAATACAATACTATGACAAATATGTTATAGTGCAGTGGTTCCCAATAGAGGTATCCATTAAAATATGTCAGCAGCCAAGGGTCGTCTGTTTACTCAAAGACAGAAAAGGAAAAAGGTTGGGAACCATTGCTGTAGTGCGAACAACCCAGAAAGTAATGCAACTAACATTAGCGATGGGTTTGCTCTGTGCAGCTAACATGCAAAAAGGACACGTTTTTTTCCCAAAGCGAGCACACCAGCTCCAGACAGCTATACTGACAACTCTCCTGCTACTATAGCTGAGATCACAACAACAGCATATCTTGGCAAACTAGAAAATAAAACTGACTGTCTGTGGGCAAGTGAGTTAACATTATCTGACACACAAATCCTGGCTGTAATAATGAGCCAACATTTGCAGAGCCAGGGCTGTGTACAAACACAGTGAAAAGCCAGTGGACTGTGATGAGATGTTTGCTGAATTTGAAAAAAAAAGAGTATTGAATTAGGACCGCCTAGATCACCTAGAATCACTTACCCTACCTTTAATATGTATTATATATTATACATTTGGGAAATATGCTCACCTGCTATCTTGCAGAAAAAGCAAGAAGTGTCTGTACAGTAAATCAGTAGCTAAAGTTAGTACTAGATAAAGATAAAGTAAAGATACCAGGCAACCAACGGAGACTCCAGTAAATTCCTGCTCCAAGAAATAGTCCCACACATAACCCCCTGTAAATCAGTGAATTGCTGTTTTTACACTTCACTTTTTGAACAGATTAAACTAATAACGTGTTAATTAGTGAGATTTAGAGGTGCTGATTTTATTACCTCGTTGGACAGAGCTAAGCTAGCTGTTTTCCCGCTTCCTGTCATAATGCTAAACTAAGCTGCCTGTCCCATGTCTGAAGTATAAGGATGTCTCCCAGTTTCAAGTCCAGAAGTGAATACGTCCTCAGTGAAGGGAATGACATTTGATCTGACTGTATCATTAAGCTGTGCCCCCTTAAATATGGTCTGTACTAATTGCCAATAATTCTATTGTGTCGTGTTATTTCGGCCTGATGTGAGCCTCTGGCCGAAAATGGTTTAGGAACCCAGCAAGTTGGTAATTTGCACATCAAAAGACATCCAGACGTCTACTTTGAATAAGGGCTAAATTTGGTGGAAAATGACTATACTTTAATGTGAAGCATGTCCTAACTGCAGACTGAAATACAGTCACTGAAATGCAGTTAAAACGATTACATGTGCCCTAGATATCTAAAAAACTTTTCCAGCCAAATTTAGCTCACTTTTCACACTGACGTCAAACAAGACACAAATCCCCAAATCAATGCTTCCTGAGAAAGTTACACGCAGGTGTAGACAGTATTCATGGTTTTAGTACCTCTGAGTGTCAGTGTCATTAGGAGTCCTGAGCAGCCAATTACAGACGTTAAACCAGCAGTGTCACAGCTGATTTAACTGTTCAGATCATTCGCCCTTCATTCCTCAGATACAGTCTTTCATTCTCTGTAGCTCTTGAGATAATCTCCCGCTTGCCTGCTGGTTTGTTGTTGGCACAGACGCCTGCCAGCGACATCATGGCACAGAACACCGAGCCTGATGAGATTAGGACTCCTAATTTAAGAAGTGAAATACATTTAGATTTCCTTCAATAAAGGCAATACTTATCGAGTAAGGTAATCTTGTCTTCTCTTCTGCAAATTCAAAACACTCCAATCTGAAAAAAATGCATGTTGTACATAAACTCCCCTTTTCTGTGCCAATAATATGTAAATTTCATCATTAATATTAAAGTGACAGACTCATTCCTGACAGATTTTTTTTTTCCAGACAGCTCGAAGACTTAATGTGTGCAGTGATGCTGCAGTTTTGCTGGCACCTTCTGTGCAAAGCTGTGTGACACTTTTACACAGCGGACACGAGGCCACTGAATTGACAGCTTCAAGACAAATTTTGTCCCCTTTATGAAAAATGTTCGCATGTCTGAGTGCAGGCAGGAAACTTCAGCTTGGCATGCGTGAAATCAATGTTTTCACGCCAAAGGTTATTTGCTCCCTACAGCAACCGTCTTACACTGTGTTTCTCTTTGTGTGTGTGTGTGTGTTTGTGTGTGTGTGTGTGTGTGTACCTGCAGGCCCTTAGCCGTCAGAGTGCGGGGGTTGGCCACGTAAGTGTGTAAACGTCCGTCCACTCCTCTCAGCAGCGGCTCAGTGTCACGGACGTACTGTAGATCTCTGGATGTCCGCAGGTCTACAACCTCCATGGACTGACTCACATTCTGAACCTAACACAACACAAATCATATGGTTCATTTCAGGAGTGATTATTGTGAGTAACCTGCATTGTCAGAAATGCACATGATTGGTTTTGGCTGTTGTCTGATTACTGCCACCTGTTATTTGTTTCCAATACTACTGTCTGGTGATGTGATGGAATACTTAAAGGGTTGGTTCACCCAAATTCTAAAAAGATAAATGTTCTTACGTACCTGGTATCTAGCCATGCAGATAGTTTTGGTGCATCTGCACAAGATGTATCCATCTGTGAGATTTCTGATTCTACTACGCATTTCAAATTGTTCAGACCCATCAGCGCCGCAGCATCGCTTTTTAACAATCTGTTATTTTTCAGCATTTCATTTTCAGTTAAACTTTAAAGCTAACTATGTGGCGGGGAAGAAAAGCGGCAGGCTGCCAGCATTTGAATGGGAAAACCCAGTTTGGTTGCTTAATCCACAGAACAAAAATTGACTATTTGTTCTCTAATCTTTAAAATTTTTGTTTCAGTTTGAGATCATTTGAAACAGCTTTTGTGTTTTTGCATCCCGGAGGTGTTGTATGACTTAAGTGAACTTTAATTACTGTCACTGTGAATTCATTATTTGGAGATACTGTTATCTGCTTGTTATAAATCAACAAGATTAAGAGTCTACAGCCTACCTAGCGGCTTTTGAGGTTGTACCTATCTTAGTCTCTTAGTTTAGCCTTTTGGAATGCTCTAACATTTGCTAATAGACCTTTTTCAAACCAGCCATTTTGACATGAAATAGTAGGGTATACACAGGTGTTACTGACACTGTAGCAGAGACCTTCCAGTGAGGCCAACATGCACAATAGCAGCTCCCTGACTCTGTTTATTAGTATCATTGGTAACACCTGTGTTTACCCTATTTCATGTCAAAATGGCTCTTGTGAATAAGGTCTATTAGCAGTAAACTCGAAGTACAGCTGAGGCTTGTGGGAATGTCATTACCTTTGCAAGTATTTTGGTATGTAAATGAACCAAAGCTGTCAGAACCTGTGCACTTTGAATATCTGTATCAAATTTCACAGCAGCCCATACAACAGAGATATTTCACTATGAACTAAAAATGTCAACCTCATGGAGAAACAATAAAAGTTTAGGGATCACCAAAGTAACTAGGGTTCATCCTGTGAGGAGCACATATGTCTGTTCATGACAATCTGTCCAGTAGACCTTGAGATATTTCAGTTTCATCACTGCGTGGGACTATTTCATCAGCATAGTTACAGGTTAAAGCGTTTACAATGAGGACTGTGGATTATGCTAAATAAGGACAGACATTGCTACTGAATTTTATTATGTAATTTTGTAAAGCTGTGAGCACAACGGACATTTATTTCACCTCAGCTGTAAAGGGGAGGCAGCAGACATATCAAGGACAGATGACTCAAAGGTGGACAAATAAAATCAAAAGAGGTGTTTTGGGATCATATACAGTCTATGTTTAGAGTGAACCAACCTTTTAATGCTCCAGCCACCGTGGCTCAACAAAATGATGCAGTCTCTGTCTTTGAAGGAGCTTCCCATTAGATCTATTTAAACAAGAGATTCTCACCTAGAACATGTTTTGTTCTAAAGAAACAAACACTCCCACGCTTATTCTCATTAAGCACCCTGAAATGCTACCAGATATTTAAAATATATTTTCATATTGAATGGGAAAACAAGCATGTGAAAAAAAAATCCATTATAAAAATGACCCAGATATCCAGAAGTGATATGCAAAGCAGACAAGAGCAAGAACAAAAAACTCACAAAAACCACCACCTACACATTTCTCCCGCTGTAACATATACGCCTGGTGGGGCGGGAGACGTAAAACACACACACACACACACACACACACACACACACATTCACACTCACAGCAGGATCTAGGTGTCACTTCCAGACAAACGCTGAGCTAATTAAGATTCATAAATACAGAAGCCTCCCAACAGGAACAGAACGAGGAGAGAGGAGAAGACGTTTTTTCCAGATAGCGTTCATCTACCTTCCTCTTTTCTCACTCTTTTTGTGTGAAGACAGAACAGAATGCACCAGCAGTGAATAAATAAATAAAAAAAAGAGTTATAATCCTCATGATATCGCTTGTGTGCTGTGGTTCATTTTTAGTTTGGCAATAATACAGGGATGTCATCATGTGTGAGCTTTGCAGTT